TCTGGGCACTTCCTTCTGGATATTTCTGGGCCCATAGCCATTGACAGAGTTAGCAGAATTTTACCAGGATTTTTCCCAGGTGGTGATAACCAGCAGAGTTCCCAGTGAAGTGCAGACACAGGCAGCAAACTCTCTTCTAGCAGAAATACTTGGTTTATATGCAGAATATTTACAGATATTTACAGCTTCAGTCCTTGTTCTATACACAGCAGTTTCACAGTCACAGAGCCTTAAATCAGTGTCATAGTCCAGTAAATAGTCATATACCATATATCAGTCCGTTCTGCCAGAGTTCCACTCTCCAAGCACATAGGTATGACTTCCTCTGAACTCTCAGGCATGGCTCCACGGCTACAGCACTTCACAGCAACGACCCAACAGCAACCCACACTGTTGTGTTCTAGGTCTCCAGCTATATACCAGAGTTAGCCAATCATGGCATGTTCATCCTTCTGGTACCTTCTAACACAGCTGTTTATCCTTGTGCTTAGGTCTCCTTTACAGTGCTGTTTCTTACAATTACTTACTGTCTTTGTGCTTAAACTGCATTTAACAATTTCAGGTTTATCCAAACCCTGTCAAAGTTCTTGCACCGCTGGCAGTTAGTGCAGAGAGTAGCGTAGTGGCACCACCCGGACACGGCTGTGGCACATCAATGTTCCAACACCTATGATGAAAGGATTGTATCCCCTTTCAGAGCTATGCTACCTTTCTGTGCTGCTCTCTTTGCTGCTCTCTGTATACAGTGGGGGTCTCGACCTAAGGAATTAATCCGTATTGGAACGTATTGTACGACTCCAAGGGCTTCGGCGCGGCTTCCAGAGGCCTCTCGGAGGTCCCCTGCCGCAGTCATCAAGGCTGCCAGAGGCCTCTGAGGGCTTCGGCGCCGCTGCCGGAGGCCTCTGGGAGGCCCCCCGCCACCAGCGATAGTGCTTCGGAGCCACTATCGGCGGTGTGTGTGGGACATTCAAAAGGCCTCCCATGGTGGCGGAGAAGGCCTTCGGAGGTCCCCCGCTGCCACTGCCAGGAGCCACGCCAGGCTATCCCAGCCATGGTTGGACTCCCAGGAGTCCGAGCATGGCTTGGGTTGCCCGGCATGGCACGGCTCCAAGCGGCTGCAGCGGCAGGGTAGGGGGTGTCTGGATGCCT